GTCCCGGCCCCCGCCCCGCCCGTCGGGTTATGCGCCCGGCCCGCGCGCCTTTGTTCGCCGCCCCCGCCAACATGGCGGCCGCCCGGCCCGCCCGGCCGCGGGCCCCGCGCGCTTTGTTCCGCAGGCCTGGGCGCCGGCGGGCGGGGGGCGGCGGGGGCGGGGCGCGGGAACGTTGCATAACCCGCCGGGCGGGGCGGGGGACGGGACCCCCGGGCGGGGCGGGGCGGGGCGGCGGGGGGAGGGGCGGGGCGGGGCGGCCGCCAGTCCTCCCTCCCTGCGGGCCCGGGTCGCCTCTGCCCCCTGCCCCGGCCAGGGTCTGCTCGTCGCGCCGCGCGCCCCCGCATCCCGGGTGACCTTGAGCGCGCTGCGCCCGGGGCGCCGGAATGAGCCGCACGACGCGGAAGCTTGCGCAGTGCCCGGGGTGGCCTCGCGCGCCTCCTCGGACCCCGTTTCGGGGCTCGCGGTGGAAACGGCCGCGACGGTGGAAACGGCCGGGAGGTGGGCGCCCCGCGTCTGTTGGTGCAGCGGCTTGTCTTGGCGGTGTGGTCGGGGCCCGGGTCTGGACGGGGAACTGCCCGTTGGGGCGGCACACGCGGGTTGTGGGGCTGTGTTGGCGAGAATGTCAGGAGGCAGAGCCCGACGCCCGCAGCCGGGTGACGCGCCAGGAGCCGGGGACCACGGGCCTGCCGAAATGCCAACACCTGTAACTTTCTTCTGTTGGAATTTTCTGGAAGGAACTCTGCAGTCTAGAAGGGTGGACGGAGAGGGCAGCCACTGCCTTCTGCATAGCATGTTAGGAAATGAAAATCAAGCCTGCCCTTGGGTGTTCCCAGGGCGGGCCGAGTTTGTGAAGGCCCTTCAGAGGTGGCGACCTTTCAGACCGGGTCAGAGGAAAGGGGGAGGCTTCCCCCAGCCTTGGTTGGTGGGCAACATCCCCAAGTTGTAATCGCCAGAAATTGACAAAACGTTCATTATGAGACTTGATAGCCAGTAAAGGTCGCACAATGTGTTGATGTCAAAATTATAGATAGTAGGTATTAGTTTCTTGTGAGAAAATGGAATTTGTTTTTCATCTTGACTAGCGAAGTGATGTTAAGATGGTGCTAAATGGGTAGGGCAAGAAAAGGACTCCTGGTTCTTTATGTTTGACTTAGAATTTTTTTTTTTTTTTCAGACTTTGGCTGAACCTAGGAATTTCACTAGTACTGCTCTGATGATAGTACCTTCAGGTTCCAATTCGGAATACGGTAACAGTATTTACTTAGTTTTGGAATATCTGAAGTGGTGTTGCTTAAGATAGTGTTTTTTGTGATGGTAGTTCTAAGAGATGATGCAGGAAAAACAAAAGGGTTCCTTGGTCACCTCAGTTTGGGAAACAGCTGTGTTCTGTCTGCCCTTAGGGCCAGAGTTCAGTGCATCGAATTGAGAGCTCTGAGAAATAATTGTGGTACCATTTCCATAGTCGGCTGCCTATCTCTTTTTGTTTTGTTTTGTTTCAGCACCCATGAAATCCAGGTAACAATGAAAAGTTGGTCATTGCTGTCCTCACAGTGCATCTTAGGTAATGGTACCTGTGCCTTCATTGTGAACTGGGAGGTTGGTGTGGTTTGTGAGTCCCTGTGCATCTCATGGACAGTATCTCAAATCTGGCTTAGTCTTAAGATACGAGAATTATTAATTTGAAGTTGTAAGTGGAGAAATTTAATTACAGTGTTTTCACTTCCCTGTGACTTCACCTGATTGCCCACACGCTCATAACTTGACTTGCTGCACTCCTTAATTGTTAGCGTTTTTTCTGGTACTTTAAAAATATGTGGTAAGCATATTGTTTCTGAAGAATTAATCACATGGGTTATTTATAGATTAAAAATAATGCTGTTGAGTATTTCTTCTGGTTTAGTTGTTAGCAGAATCTTGATTTGCTGAGAAAGAGCAGTTGATATGTGTCTACATAAATACTTCCTTCTATTTATTGATGCTTAATTAAATGGTTTTTTCCCCCTGTTCCTTGAATGAGAAGAACTTGGAAGAGGGAATCAATTATTTTGCCCAAGTATTTTGTTTGATTTGGCAGACATTATGGTGTTGTGAAAAGGCTATGGGCTCTGCAGTTGGTCATGGAGATAGCATGGCCTTCAGCTCTGGAGAGTCTGGGTGGAAATCCAGCCCCACTCGGTACTGGTCTGAAGCTACACAACAGATTCCCCCCCCCCCCCCCACCTCGTGGACTTGCCATTTCTCAGCTGTAAACTGGGAAGAGACGTGTCCCATGAGGATGTGGTGAGAATTAAGTGGATTTGTAGGGTTCCCAGTGCAGTCCTGAAATGCAACCGCCACTGCCAGCCATTGTTGATTTCCTTCTCTTCCTGCTTTTGAACTTGGCTGTAGTTACTAGCATGATGTTTTTAATGTTGAGGTGAACAGTTTGCTTAGTTGTGCTCCAGTATTCAGTGTAATTGTTAATTCTTTGTTGGGTGCTTATGGCTTTAAAATTGCCATAAGTTCTTACTAAAACGAGCCATGTATGGGCATAATACATAAAGATGTGCCCTTGTAGACCTTACAGTCTGGTAGGGAAGGTATACATACACGTGATGTGGGAATTCGTGCTGAGAGCATCTGGAAGAGAAGGCAGTGCTCCAGCAGGGTCAAGAATGTAGAGCAGGAGAGCAGAGTCGTCCAGGTGGAGGGACAGCAGCAATAGAGGCAATGTGGAGGGTGTTTGAGACCACCCTGGATTTGAATCCCAACCAAAGATTGCCCCATCTTAGCGTTTACTTCTATGAGTGTGTTTATCTGTTGAACAGGACGAGCACACCTACCTCATCAAGTGTAAGCCCCTAGGGCTCTGTAGTACGTGCCCCGTGGGTACCGATGATGGTGATGATGACATTACCACTGCTGACACCACCTGTAGTTTGGCATGGCCGGTGTGTGTAGCATGAATTTGGGGCCAGATTTTACATAATCTGCATACCCCATCAAGGCAGCTGATGTTTATCCTGTGTGTGGGGAAAGCCATTGGATGGCATTAAGCAGTATGAAAGGTGCACTGAAGAGATCTGCCAGAGCAGGATCTCTAGTCCAGCCTGTGGGAGGTGATGGCTGAAGTCATTTGGGACAAAAGGGGAATCGGTCTGGAGTCACTAGAATGTTAAATGTGTTGAGTTTTGGGGACGGAAGGGGTGGAGGGAGGATCCGTTCTACATGGGTGTTTTATCCAAGTGTTGACAGTGTAAATAGAGAGACTAGTAAAGCATTATTTATACCATTTTAGATATTTTTAGACTGTAGTAACGTTTTATAAAAAAATAAGGCAGGGACTCCTGGCTGGCTCAGTCGGAAGAGCATGTGACTCTTGATCTCGGGGTCGTGAGTTCAAGTCCCACGTTGGGTGTAGAAATGGCTTAAATAAAAATGAAGGTGGAACGACTTTTTTTTTTTTAAACTTAGATTGTATTTGTTTATAATAAGTTGCTCAGTTTGCTTATAGTTCTGTCCTTACAATGTAGGTGTAATTTTTGGACCCGTTTGTGGCCTACGTGTTTTTATCTATAAATGAGTTCCATAGTCCTAAATATATGAATCTGTGTTTACAGATCTATATGTGAATGTATGTTTATATATTAACTAGTTGTATGTCTTAGTTAATGCTAATTAGTCTGGGTCCTGGCAAGTGATCAGAATGTCCTTTTTCCTGTGTACAGGGTTGGGTTGTTGTGAGTTCCTTTTTGCTTTTTTCTCTTTTGAAACCACTGTGGACCCATGGATTTTTGTGTATTCAGGGTGTTTTAATCAAGTAGTCCTCATTCTTTTTCCTCAGCTTGTCCCTCACTTGGACATGGTGCCGTCCCTTCAAGCTGGATCTCTTCCCTTGGATGCCACCCCATTAATCTTTGAACCATTTCTTGCTTTCTGATACTAGATGTCTAAGACTTTGTGCTTTCCTGATCAGCTAGTTCTTTTAGCTCCTTTTATTGGGGGATGGAATATAGATACCAAAATCTGGTGCAGTGTGTCCGTATTGCTACTGGGATGCCTCTACTTTCATTGGACAGATGTGGGAAATACATAACATTTTATTTTGTATTGATATTTTCAATTTAGATTTAATGCTGCAGGTTTTTTACTTTGAGGTCATCCTTTTTTCTCTAACGTTGAAGATTTGCATTCTTTGCAACATTACTTCCCTTGTTCTGCAGTATATAAATGTTTGAAAACACCAGTAACAATAAAGTATTGGTTTGTATTTCATTACAGTTCTTCCGTTCTTAAAAGTTCTTAAAATGCATCCACGTAAGAGTGCACTGTTGATGTTCCAAATTATAAAATGATTTGAAAATATTTTTTTCTGATACCAGTTTAATTTGGTTTATTTATATGAAATCTTTAGGTTTTAAGGATTGCATTAATTTTTTGTTTAATGTATTTTTAAAGTTTTAGTATGTAAAATGTATATAGTTCAAAGTCAAAGTTGTGTTAACAAAGGTATGTTCATAGTCCTTCCATTGCTGTCTCCTGCACCATTGCCATGGTGCCCCCTTTTTATTTCTGGTTTATTCTTCCAGTGTTTCATTTTTGCAAATAGAAGCACGGACGCATATTTTTATTTCCTTTTCGCTTTTAAAGACGGTAGAACTCAACACTGTTCTTTTTTACTTAATATATTCTGGTGATTGTTTTACATAAGCTCTTTTCCATTCTTTTGTGCTTGTAGTTTCCTAATGATGAACATAGGTTGTTTATATTCTATTGCTGTTATAAAGGTTGCTGCAGGGAATAACCCTGTGGTTATGTTTTTTTGTATTTGTGCACGTTTAGCTTTTAACACAGTGAGATTTTTGGGTAAAAGATAACTGTGAAATTTGTTTAGTGTAAAAAAATTAGAGTTTAAAAAGGTGGATCTCATTATGTCACCCTTTTACTTAAAGCTTTCAGTGGCTGTAAGTACTGAACTTAGTAACATGATCTCAAGGGCATACATAATTTTTATCCTTTGGCACCTCAGCCTCACCTTAAACCACGTCTCCCGTTGTTTTCCTTGCTTCAGCCATGCTTGTCATTCTCCTGTGCCTAGCACCTTCTCCACAGGGCATGTGGCACTGGTTCTTTTTCCTCTGCCTGGAATGTTTTGTTTTTTGGTCCTGTTTCAGTTCTTCCTAGCCTTCTCTAAGAGTTTGTCTCCAGCATCACTTTTTCATGAGATTCTTTTTGCGTGAGTTTGCAGATTTTCATGATAAAGAGAGTAGTCTAAAGAACTTTGTCTATCACACACTACAGCAGCCATCAATTTTCTGAAGTTCTTGAGTTTTTTTCTTGACTTCCCTGTAGTCAAATTCTCCTATTAGAGATACCGCTGTCCTTACTGCTACTTCAAAATTACAGTATAAATTAACTTAGTGAATTTTCATTTTCTCTAGGAGGTTGAGCTTCATGAAAGCAGACACTGTTCCTGTTTTTGCCTGTAATTACTTTTCTAGTTCTCAACTCAGTGCCTGGGTTGTTGAGTGCTCAAACCCTCCTGGGCAGTTGTCTAAGGAGAGAGATGGGTGCTGTGTAGTTATGTCTGGTCTGCTTAATGGGACAAATTGAAAGTTGTGTCCGTTCTGTTGCCTCTGACTTTGGTCTTGGAGCTGACCACACACATGGCCCAGGAGGTAGGACTGTCAGGGGAAAAGATGGGCCACTGCAGCAGCCTTGCAAGGGCAGCCCTGCCTGGCCGCAGTGAGGGGAACCAGAAGGCCAGCGGACGCAGGCTACACATGTGCTGCCACATGTGCCGCACTGTCTACCTGCTGTACCAGAGCCCTCTTGTGGCCCAAACCAGAACCAAACGGGAAAGGAAGTTCTGGGGAATGTGGTTCAGTCTAGCCACGTTAAAACATTACAAAACAAAATGATGAGCTCAGGGTTTTAAATGCCAACTGGGGTTCCACATAAGGGACCTGAAAGTTTCTGCGTCTGCCCTAAAAAATGCAAATTGAATTCCAAATTTGTAAGCAAGAGCATTGATTGATAAGGAGTGGAATTGTAAAAATTGGATTAGGAAACGTATGGTCAGATTCCAGTTAAGCTGGAGACCTAAATTCTGTGCCACCTTTGCCAGTAGAAGCGGCTTTTCCAACCCCTGTGTGAGGAACTTAATCTCCTTTGCGTGGCAAACCTGTAATTGGCTACCCTTCCCCAAGGATCGTCCCAGCAGGCCCCAAAGTAGGAGGTATAGATAGTGTGACTCATGAGATCCAAA